AGTATTCATCAAATTTAGAGCGGTAGTAATAAAGACTGGAAGACTAAGATTAATGCACTACATTAGTTCCAGGTAGCTTCATTTAGTTTGGTTTAAGTTAATGTAATTAGACTAGTATATTTAAGCTTTTCGTTCTTATATTTGTTATTTATTATTATTAATTACTATTATTACTATTTTTATTATTGTTATTGTTATTTATCAGTTATTATTAATTATTAGTTTATCATTATTCATTATTTAATAATTTATTATTTATTAATTGTTATTACTTTACTGATCATTAATTATTAATTTATTATCAGTCATTAATTTATTAATTATTATTAATTATTAATAATTGATTTAATAGTTATTGTTATTATTATTATTAACAAAAATTGTTTCATTATTAACAGTTTTCATCCTGTGAAGTATTCTTTTTTAAATATTATATCTATTCTTTCCATATGTTATTCTTTTCTTTCCCATTTAATTTGTACCTTTTTCCTTATTATTCGAATTCGTTTTCCGTCTACAACAACTACTGTAATTTATTTGATAGAACAATTCAATGACAATACAAATAACGAAGTAAAGAGACAGAGAAGTAAAGAGGAGCTGCTGTTAATTGATTTTAGATTAAATTTCGTTTTTGATATGAAGTGAAGAAAATTGAATTTCCTCTGCAGCTAATTAATTTTTTTATAAGAGGTGTGATATAACCATTCTTTTCAACATATTTTCCTAATTATCTTTGATGCTTATATATCTGATTGATCTTCGAATTACCAAAGTTAAATATCTTATTTTGTATGCAATCTATTTTTCCTCATTTTAATTAATATAGTCGAAAAATTTTAAGGTTTTGATGTTTCATGAAATCGTTCGTCACGTGATGTTCTGAAATTTAAATTTATAAAAAAATAATTTTAAGTCTTCAATTCAATATCATCTGATTTTCCTTTTTCCCCTGTTCCTTTATGGTGTCATTCGTTGATGATGTAATTTAAAAATAAGCTCTTCATTTTAGTTTCTCTACAACTTTTTGCTTAATGAATAAAGTCAAACTTGTTAAAAGATTTTAAAGTAGTTTGTCAACTAATAATCCATCTTCCGTCATTTTTCCAAACTAGGTGATGCGATGCCTGGCACAAATTGCTATATCTCTCCTTGATTTCTCTCATTTATTGTTTATTGAATAGTAATGCTTAACATTTTTTATTTGATTATTTTGCTTTAGTAATTATATTTTCTTCAGTTTATTAATTCTGGTAAATTTAGGAATAAATTTCGAAAATTTATATAATTTTTGAATTTCGACTAGAATTCATTAGATGCATTGATGGGAAATGATGAAAAAATATCATAATATTTTGAGAGGTTTCAGTAAACGAAATGAAGAATATAAAATTGTTAATTAAAATAGTAATTGCAATATTGAGATTGCAATTAGAACGAAACTGAAACCATTTGAACGATGAGAAATGATTTAATAAAGATGATGGAAGCTTATGGATTTCCATAATATGAAGAAATAAATAGAAGAATTAGGCTATTAAGTGATTAAAAGATGAACAAATGGAATAATTAAGGGATGGCGGCGGTATTTGTCTATTCTGAGCGCATACAGTCATCAACAAATCTTTCTTTCGTTCAATCTGAAGTAGAAATTTAAAAAAAGGCTAAAATTTTGAATGTTTAGTGAAAGGTAATCTTTTTCTAGCTATCTGTATATTTTTATCGAAAATTTCTTTCCATAGAATATCATATTGAAAATAAATAGAATTATGGTCAAATGAATGATTAGATATGACTGATTTGAGGAAAAAAGACAATATATTGTGTTCTCTCTCTCTCTCTCTCTCTATCTCTCACCTTTTTTTCACTAAATTTTAATCTCTGATCACAAAATGAAGGTAAAAATAGTTTATTCGAATTTCTAAGAAAATTATCAAAGCATAATAAAAGAAAATGTTTTTCTACAATCGGCTACCGGCAAGGAATTGGAATCGTCTAATAAAGATTGCTAGAAATGTTAGATTATCATTGATGTTAATAGGATCGTTCTTTTGTGTGTATAGTAAATAAATGAAAAAGTAGAAAGCAATCAATGAGTAATGATTTGTAATCGTCGCAAATTGAGTTGATTATATCATTCCCGAAAGTGATAATATCGTCCGTGTCCCAATGAAGAGAATGAAAGAATCAATGTAAAAGGTTAATTGATAGTGGGATAAAGGAGGAAATATTTGATCCTGAGGAAAGATTGAAATAGTAACTGTTCACTATTTAAGAAATGAGCAGCGGTGCAACAGATATGGAAGTATGACCGATTGTTGATTGGCTATATTTTAGTCAACGTATTGAGTATATTGCGAGAAATTTTGCAGTAGTCTTTCAATACTAGAAGTTGTAGATGTGAATGTTTTCTTTAATGTAGAAGTGATGTGTTGAACTTCGAGTCGAAGAAACAAGTCAATGAAAATTGAAGAGTTGTTATCAAAAAAATAGGATTCTGAATATAGCACACAGCTATGTGTAAGTGGGGAGTTCCGCTAATATTTGATGGAAGTGGTAGGAAATTTTTAATTATGTGAGTTGTACTGATACAGTAATAAAATTGAGATGAACTAATGAAGGACATCTGAGCTTCAAGAAATATAAGATAAATAATAGTCATATTACCGATGGATGAAATAAAAAATAGTAGAAGTTTTCGATATATGTTGAGATTTTTGTAAATTGTTTTTACAATATAATATCTGCACCAATCGAAAGTAATCAAAAATTCGAATCGTTGCTAATTAGTGAGGTGATACATATATATGACAGAGAAAAGAAACAATTCAAAAAAACAATGAAGGATAAGGAATTCGGAAAGTTCGCAATGCTAAAAGTGGAAGTTCGTGAGGAAACCACTTAACTAAAAATTTGGTTATAAGTTATAGCGGAACAAAAAAAAGTTGTTGATGAGAAATATTTGAAGTTAGAGAAATTAAATCAAATCGAAATACCTAAGATATTTTTTTCTTTTCATTCATTCTATGTAATTAATGACTTGTCAGATTCAGAAGACTGAAATGGGAAAAAAGAATAAACATGGATGATTAAATACTTGCAATTTTTCTTCAAATTTCTAGAACCCTCAAAAGGGTTTGAAGGAAATAATTCAAACATTATGAAAGGTAGACAATAAATTAGAAATAACTGATTGAAAGTCGTAGACTTGACGTGGATTCACTTGACACTAGACATAAAATATGTGTTTACTGAGATGACCTAACACATAATCGAAAATATGAAATCGTGCAAAGAATACTTTCTCTCTAATTTCCAAATTTCCTTACAAAGCTTAAATGGAGGGCAAGGGAATGCAGAAAGGTGAACTCAACTCTTTGTTAAATAAATTCTTTGGAGGACAATTCTGATAGTTTGGTGGCAGGAGAAAATTGAAGTTTCCATTTTTTTTTCTCACAGTTTCAAATAGATACAAATCATTTTCTTACAAAATGACCGGTGGAAATATTTATTTTTTAAGCATTTCGAATCAGGTTGTCCATTATGGTGGGAGCGAATCCAACAAAATTATTTTGTACAGTGTAATTTTTTGATACGATAGGATGAATTCTTTCCCACCTTTTTTATTCCTTTTTTACTGACAGTAGAAAATTTTCGGGAATTTTAAGAAAAAGTTTTTCTTACTCATTTCATCTGCACTTGTTCGTGATTTTTGATTATTTCATGTCTTTTTATAACTGAATTCATTTATTGAGCTCGGATTTGGGAGAAATGTTAACCAACAGATAAATATTTGCTGTTATTTCGGAGAAATAAGATTACTTCTTCTCTGTTCTTAACAGTTTTACGATAATTGTTGACCTGACTGCATCATCGGCTTTTATTTTCACTTTTCCTCTTTTAAATAAGTCTTCTAAATGTGTTCAGGTCAGCTGTTAGTTATGAAAGAGTGTATTAATTTCATCAAATGTAAAGTAGTGCAAAATACATCGTAATGAAAATTAGACTGGCTCAAATGTTGATATACCGGAGTATGTGCACTACAAATTGATAGATCACCATTATCGATAAGCTTACTGAAATAGATTAGTTTCATATTTCAAGACTAGCTGGGTAAAGGGCTATGAGCATTAATTGGGAAGAAAAAAAGAACATTTACCATTAGAAAAGCTGAAGAAGCAGAAGGAGAGAGAAGAAAGAAAAGAATAAACCATATACGCTTTAACGAATATATAAAAGTAGGATAGGATTTGTTCATCTCTTGCCAGTGCAATCCAATGACTAAAGCAAAGTAGAATTTTGCACCTGTTCTTTTTGATTTTTTTTAAATTAGATTTTTATCTGTGCTGCCTTCTACAAATAAACTATTTAAAGATAATATAATCAATGATTGTTGAGAATTTGTCAGCCTATATTGTTTTTTTTTTTTTTTAATTAGCGAAAGGAAGAAGAATTTATAAGTTGTTGAATAAAAGAGATTGACATAGGTTAGTATTAGAAGATAAACTTTACAGAAAAATGAGATCATTGGAAACACTGCTGTGCTCTACTGCTTCATTCCTTTTTATAAGGTTTGCTTCTATCTGGATTCCTAATAATATATGTATATATATCAGCTAATCATTCTATCTTCTTTTCTATTGCAACTCATCGATTACGTTAACAATTGATTTGTTTGAATGTGTATAAGACTAATTATTTTATCTTCAATTTACTTTTTTCTCGTTAACTGTTCATTTTCGTTGAAATAAGCGATCAATAGATATGGAAAAAAATGAATATTTTTCAATGAATATGATCAATATTTCAGAACGAATGTGTAAATATATATATAGTGGAAGCTAATACCAGATATTTCTACCTTGGTCACTATTGTTACTCTTAAAATTACATTGTTGTTGTTGATGAATTCTATAAAATTTGAGCGATTTAACATCTTATCTTCATCTTTCCTTGCTTGCTTCTACGGAAGTAACGGAGGTTTTCGATGATACAAACAAATGATATTGGCTCGGAAATGTGCACTTTCAACTTCTAAGCATTCTTTATGGGATAATCGAAAATGTGCTTGTAAAACTGGTCGCATCAAAGTCGACAATGAAACGTAAGTTGTCTATTCATTTTTATACAGTAAATTCACCATTGCTATGATAATGTTTGGAAATTTGATTAGTATCTAATGTTTTGTGCAAACTTTAATTTAGCTTTTATAACTGAAATAGAAGAGAGCAAAAAATATGTAACTTTTCTATCAGTTTCATTTCTATAACGAAAGAGAAGTGATTGTGTGCTTGAAATCTCATTTTTAGGCCAGTTCATATTTTCAACAATACGGCAAAAGATGAATTGGCTTATTGTTCAAACGCAAATGTTTCTAAATTTCCTACAATGAATGAGAAAAATAATGCTTTGAAGGGAAGCCGCATCAGGAATCGGATTTACCCTTTAAAACTGTTAAATAGGCATTACCGTTCATTATCCCATCAGCGCTTTTGTACTTCTATGACATCATCCCATACTTGCTCATTATCATTCATCGTTTTATCACTCGCCTTATTATCAATATCCGAATTGTTAGTGGCAGCAGATGAGTCAGATTTTTCTGATACAATGAGGGAATTGAGGCCCCTTAAAAATAGCAATAATCATAGTAGCAGTAGGAATAACAGTTATGAAACAGCAAATCGTAAGTCATCATCGACAGCATTGCGCAAAGCGTATACTAATCAATTTGCCGTACGAATCATAGGTGGTGATATCGTGGATGCGAACAAATTAGCGGCAAAACATGGTTTCATCAATCTTGGACAAGTTTGTTTCTTCTTCCCAAATTTTCTTAAAAATTTAAAAAATAGATTCAGATTCTCTTGTTAGGTATACTGATCTTCATTGAGATTAAAGCAGAGTTTGTAAACAATTCTGTTGTTCCGAATACCAATAAGGAGTGCGCACTAGCGTTTTCAGATCTCTGTTTCGATGATTTTTTTTTGATTTAAAAAATTTCAAAATCCCAATGGTCGATTTTAAGAATAACAGTTCTCTATTATTACATTGTTAAGCAGTATCATTGGTTGTAATTTGATATCACTTTATTAGCGCGGAATTGTAAAAGCTTCAGAATGATAAAACTTTAGTATTCGTTTACATTTACTTAACTTCTGTTCAACTCAAGAATTAATTTTAATTTCTTGAGTGAGAAAATTAATTTCCCACCCAGACTTCCATCTCCTTGTAAAAGAACTGAGAATCTTCGAAAAAGTTGGAGACATTATTCGGTGAGATTAAAAAAAAGGAATGTGTTATTCACAAACTTTTGTCTTTTGAAATGGTGTTAGTCAACTTATAGTCAGCAGCTTCAATGGTTATAGTTAAGGTTTTGCCAAATGATGAATATTTCTTGTTTGAAAGTCCACGAACAAGGAAAAGGTCAACGCGACGTAGAAGGAATGCTCAAACAAATTCTATTGCAAGAGAACCTCAAGTAAGTCTTTTGTAGCGTTTATTATTTCTTTGCTTTTTCCAAATATTTATAAATCTCATTTACTTCATTTGTTCCTTCAGTATCGATATTACTCGACTTTCTATTCGTCCATAATTTGATTTTGACTATTTCTAATTTGCCAAAGGGATTGTGAGAGTTAAGATAAGTAATAGTAATGGAGTATAATTTTGAAATATGAGGGAGAGGGAAGACAAGGCAATTTATTTTCTATTCAAAATATGAGTGTGATCTGTGAGAATTGTTTATAAAGAGGTATACAGCGCAAGCAATATTTCTTCAAGCAATCATTGAAAAAAAAGCTCAGAAAATATAACATTTATTTCAATGTTATATTTTTGCAGATAAATGATCGTTATATATATACGTTGTCTCCATACGTTTTGTCTCCGTATGGGAAACAAAAAGATTGACCAGATGTTTGTGGTTTTTCTTATGTGCTATACTGCTTTCAATGACCCTTATTCGCTTAGTGTTCAATATTTGCAAATATAAAAATAACTTTTGAAAGAATTAAATGACTTTCCATCACTGAAACTTGACGTGATCCTACCCTCATCTTGTGTTTTACATTCATGAATATATTTAACTCAACACACCAAATACTACAGCGAACTCTCTATCCAATTAATCAGACAACTAGGTAAGAGAAAAGTATTTTGAACTTCCCGTTATGTCCTAAATTTTGCATGATAACTATCAGAAGCTGAAGCTAATATTAAAGTTAGATTCGGCGTTGGAAGAAATTATAGAATAAGCATTTTTAGACTTTTAGTGGAGTTATGTATAGCTTTAAATGATACTATATCACAAGAGTGTATGCAACTGTTTCATTTTTCAAGCTAGTTGTCGAATTTGTGCCGATTGAAGACATCGTAATATTACATTGTTCTTAACAGAAATACTTATTTAAATTCAGAATAACGGAAATAACTATTTTCAAATCATTTACACGATTACTGCATGGCCAAATCAGAATATTAATTTGAATTTGAAAAGGCATAAACACTATTTTTATAGTAAAAGTTAACGAAAGCAAAGTAAACACTGGTAAATTTTCTTTTCTAGTTTTATATGTCATCTTGCTGTGTATAAATTTGATTCTGTCAGCTGAGTGAAAAGATATCGAACTTAATTGGTCACTATTTTTGGGATTGTATCGATCTGGATTTTAGGATCAGAATTGTGCAGTAAAGTATTACATGTGCAGTAAAGCTGTTGTAATATTCTGAATAATATGTCAGTTTTAATTAAAAAAGAGAATGCTGGCTGAGAGGATCGTAATGGAACAATGTCATTTCTTTAGGTGGAATGGATAGAACAACAAATAGCAAAAAAACGAGTGAAACGTGGTTATATGCCTATGAATACTCGTTCACCAGCTGTTCACTTTCAGCGATACAAGGCTAGCATCTTCTATTAAAATTTTACTTTAGATATCGATTGATAATGCTGATAAGAGTTTGACTCTTTCCACTTCCTGCGTTTCTGTCACTGAATAAGTCAGCTTCACTTCTTGGCTTTTTTAAATTCTAATTTATTTGATAGTTGAATAAAACAGTACTATGTAAGATAGTGCTTTTATATTTTCGATGAAAGTTAAACAGAAAATCTTAAATTTGCAAAATTGTAGAGTTTTCCTTTCAACGCTGCCATTCTTTCTGAATTTTACAGATCAATTTAGTTGTAATATCTGTAAATGTATCTGTTGTTTATTCACGTGAAAAAAGGGTTACAATAATTAGAACGAGTAATAAAAGAATTTTCTGGTTGAAGTGTCTTTCATTTTGAAAATCACACTTGATATTTTCAGGGCAATGAAATTAATGATGATCCCACAATAATGTCCGATGACGACGCTCAACAGCAATATTCAAGCAACCGAAACCGGAATGCTGGTGTTCGGAATGTTGGAAATTATAATTTAAATGATCCTCTGTGGTCCGATATGTGGTATTTGGTCAGTTTGAAATCATTATAATTGATACTATATCTTGTTGATTATTCAGTTGTGAAGTAAATTAGTTCCAGAACCCAGCAGTGTTTGATCGTGGCTTGGATCATAATGTACGCGAAGCTTGGGATCTTGGTTATACAGGAAGGGGTGTAGTTGTAACGATATTGGATGATGGTTTGGAACGAACACATCCGGATATTGCTCCGAATTATGTGAGTTTTTTGAAGATTTAATGGAAACTTTAACTTTAAAGTAGATTAATTGTTTTCGTCATTGCCTTTATGGGACGCCTCGAAAGCAAAAAATTTTGTTTTCAGGATGCAAAAGCTAGTTACGACGTCAATGATCGCGATGAAGATCCGACACCGCGGTATGATTACACAGATGAGAATAGACATGGAACACGATGTGCTGGCGAAGTAGCTGCTATTTTCAATAATTCGCTATGTATAGTTGGAATCGCATACAATGCTCGAATTGGGGGTATTATCTTGGGTTTATTTGTAGGGTGAATGGTTGAAAAGAATGTGCTAATGTGCTATAAAGGATCAAGTTCGCATCATTTCATGAATTGGTTTGAGCATCTTGTTGTGCAGTAGCAGCACACTTAGATACCTAAGTCTATTTTTGTATGTTAAATAGCATAATTTATGCTTCATGACCTAACTGTCAAGTAAACTTATATAAAACTGTTGGCAACTGGCATTGTTTCAAAAGGCCATTACTTTACGTTTCAGATATTAAGCCATGTCGTCATCGGAATGTTGCTAATAGTTGTTTTTTAAATACATTTTAAATCATATTAATAATAAATTGCATAAAATCTATTCAGTTTACTCCTACAAAAAAAATATTTTGTGGTTAAGTACAGTGCTTGACATCTTATGGCACTGATTAAATACAAATGTTTTTTGTAAATAAATACATTCAATATTCTCTTCTTGGTGTGCCATTTTTATGCTAGTTTTTCGTGGAACTGTTTTTTTTTACTTCCTTTTGGAATCTGGCAGTTTTTTATAAACAAATCACAATGACATTTTTGCATAATTTCGAAATTTTCTTCTTGCAGGGATTAGAATGCTGGATGGTGATGTGACCGATGCGGTAGAAGCAACCAGTCTTGCTCATAATTCTGACCATATTGACATTTATTCCGCGAGTTGGGGACCGGACGATGATGGCAGAACAGTTGATGGACCAGCAAAACTAACAAGAAGAGCTTTCGAAAAAGGGATTCGTGAGGTGAGTCATTAACAAAAAGAAATTACTGCGTAATTTTATTCTGAAAATAGTTACTGGAATTTTATAGATAACAACCTCATAACTACTAACATTATCTAGAATTTTAGGAGATTTCCTTACTCAAATTAGAAAAAAAGCATAACTTACTAAAACAAATTTTTATGTATTAAGGTGAGGAGCTGTGAGTTGTTTTTTAGGGTCGTCATGGACTTGGTTCTATATTTGTTTGGGCCAGTGGAAATGGTGGTAAAGATGCCGACTCGTGTAATTGTGATGGGTATACCAATAGTATTTATACATTATCGATATCATCCGCAACCGAACACGGCAACATACCGTGGTATTCGGAAGCTTGTAGTTCAACACTTGCTACTGCATATAGTAGCGGCGCTACTGGTGAAAAAATGATTGTGAGTTTCCTTTCTTATAGAGAAGCAAGATTGATAAATAAAAGTGAAGATGTAATAAGGAGCTATTTACTTTTTCATTTCTTTTTATGTGATATCTTAACCATTTATTATGCTTAGTTTGTCCTCAAAAACAAGTCCAATTTAAAACTCCAATGTCCAAATTTGAATTTATCTGGCGATTGCTACCGCACCTTGTGAGAGCGCTATTTTATCATTGAAATAATAACTCTTTTGATGACTCTCCATCAGTATAAAAATTTATCGGTTAAAAAAAATGGGAATTTATTGACATTTCATTTTTTACAAAGCAGTATTTAACACTGTCGACTTTGAAATACATGCTTGATGTATTATTCAAGTTATTTATTAGGAAAATTAGCCGAGTTTTCAACTGCGCAAATTTCTTGCATGCTTTAAAATTTGTTTTCAGGTGACAACAGATTTGCATCATTCCTGTACAAATGCTCATACGGGTACGTCAGCAAGTGCACCACTGGCAGCTGGCATTGTTGCTTTAACTCTAGAAGCAAATCCTAAATTAACATGGCGAGATATGCAGGTAATTACATCCGTTCCTTAAATTTAGACGTTGCTGATTAGGAAAATCGCATTGGAAATAAAATTTCAGCGCATCAGTGCAATGTATTGTTCTTAGAGAGTATTCCAGCGAATTTTGCTTGTTCAAATGAATTGAAATGTATTTACGCCGAAAACTCTTTTAAAGTAGACGATGGAGTTTCATACTGTAGAAAATGAAATAAAAATAAGAGATGCTTTCAGCATATTGTTGTTCGCACTGCTCGACCACTCAATCTTCGTGCTGGTGACTGGGTAGCAAATGGAGTTGGAAAGAAAGTTTCACATTCATTTGGTTTTGGTTTAATGGATGCTGGTGGGATGGTCCGATTGGCTAGTAATTGGACAACCGTTCCGGAGCAGAGGAAATGTATTGTCTTTTATCCAGCTAGATACAAGTCAGTTTTTCTTTCTTTTCAGATTTGCCAAAAATTGAACTGGAAGAATTTTCATTCAGTTGCATTTGCGAGGAAATGCCTTACTTCTTAACTTCTTATTAGACTGTTAGACTTTTCAAAATCAGGAGTGCAAAGTAAACGATATAAAACAAAACTTATAGGCAAGCATATGCCTTCTCTTCTTTCAAGATTTGGTCGATAAAAATAAATAAATTTTATATGTTTAATATTTTTTTTAACAAGAAAATATTTTTTTAAATAAAGTAAATATATATATTGAAATAGCTATGTTAGCTTTGGTCCCAATTTACAAAGGTCATCACATTAAAAAGTGAAAAATAACTAGATACCAGTAAGGCTTATATGAAATTCTCAAAATTCCATTCTTTATTTTATTTCCGTGGAGGAAACATCCATTCTAATACTTCTTTAACATTAAATTCTACTGTTTTTAATATCCTTTTTTAGAACAGTTCCACATGGCAATCGATTACAGTTGCAGCTTTACACGGATGGTTGTGCAAGCTACCCGCATAATAAAGTAGGATATCTTGAACATGTTCAGGCAATAATTACCCTGACTGCACCCAAACGGGGTGATATACAAATTTATCTCACTTCACCATCAGGTAAGTAATATCATAATTGTTAACAATAGAAGGTTGAATTTAAAAATGTCAGACAGAAAATTTAAGTCAATTATTTTGAAAATGAGTAACTTCTGTTTCTCTGGTAAACTTATAATTAAATTTCTCGTTGTTGCTCGCAGATCGTTTTCATCACCGTTGTATAAATTTTTGTGTGATCATTATGTGAAGTTTTTCTACGAATACCGAATAATGTTATAGGAACTCGATCAACTTTATTAGCTAAACGAGCTCGTGATACTTCAAGGACAGGCTTCAGAGAATGGGCTTTCATGACAACTCATAATTGGGGTGAAATGGCTGTTGGCTTATGGATATTGGAAATCAACAACGATGGGTGGGATGGTAAATTTTTTAAATAAAATCTCAAAACCTCTTTACATATGGAATCACATTTTCGGTTTCCATTATATAGAAACTAGAATTTCATAATTTGCATTCAACATCGAGTTTCTTCAGATGCTGAACTGATTCGATGGGATTTAGTTCTTTATGGTACAGCAGTAGAAGTAAGCAGTGTAGGTGGTATACCTTCCGCTTCTTTATCATCATCATTAACTCCACGTTCATTGTCTAGTAAAGCACGAATTCGTTATGGTACATTATGGGAAGACACATCTGCTGCATCCATCATTACTGCTCCCAGTAACATGGCTTTACTTTCTTTGCTGTTTAGTTTCACTGTATTTTATTTATTTAAACTTTCCATCCGGTGATGTTTTTTTAAAAAAGTAAAACCTGAAATTGTTGAGTTGATGATTTAATTATATAATTCATTTTCAACGGTCGATTTAGGAAATTAATTACAAAATTTGTAAAAAAGCGAAAGTTTCCTCAAACTTTGATACTTCGTTACTGGAATCATTAAAATTGTAAAAATCTATGAAATTATATTTACGAGTTAAATTTATTCAGAAATCTTTTACTTTATGAAAGGTTTTTTTTTAATCATGTGTAAGAGAAAATAATACGTTTATTTAGCAGAGTGCTGCAAAAGCTTTATTAAATGAGCTTCTATACATGCAAGTGTTTTGTATGTTATGGTTGTCCTGTAGAAAATATAGTTCGCTGTTTCACAGTGCATCATAATTTTTACTCTTTATTACTTTATCATTACTCTATCTAAAATTCAAATTTCTGTGTAAATTTTCCTTTCAAATTCTTTTTATTTAAGTTGTATATTTGTAGCAAAAAAATTGATTGAATTTTAATGGGGGTTTTTCTGTTATCAGCAAATACTTTCCTGAAACATTCTGATCATTTCAAAGTTGGGGAAGCGATTTCAAAAAAAGAAAAACAGTTTTTTCGGGTCTCTCTATATTAACAATGAATCCGAGAAAAAGTTTAATTTGATTTTGCTGGAAGAACAATGAATTCGAGAAAAAGTTTAGTTTAATTTTGCTGGGGGAATCATGAATCATTTAAAATTCCAGTGAACTTAGATCTATAGCTTTTAACCTCTCACTACCTCTGGCCGTTTATTTGGTCATGTTGTGGTCGCACAACATCGGTATTTTATGCTTACGCACCGAGTATTAATTATTATACGGTTATATTACACCGCAATTTTATTATAATTTGATTCAGTTTTGTTCATTTATTCACTGATACTAGTAGAACGCATCAAATCATATGTTGGTGCTTACTAACCTCTGAACTCTCAAAGAAAGCCTAATTTCACTGTTACCGATTATCTAACTTACTAAGAAAGCTCTATCCATTAAAAATAATGATTTGTGCGTGAATACCAGACATGTATTTGAATTAACTTAACTTTTAATTTTAAGTTTCTTGTGACGTTTTTAAAAACCATCCATCAGTTTTAGTATGCGATTGTGATGAACTTTGTGATTATTTTAAATTTTAAACTAACGGCGTTTCAATTTAAGGTTGTATAATGATAAAAAAACAGTCAAACATGTCTTTTGGATTTTTAAAATAGTCGTGCGCGTTTCTTCTGTCTCTGCCTGCCAATATATAAATTGCATTCCTGTATGTTTTTGAAGTCTTTGGCTCATTTTTCATTTAAGTTTATTTGGATATGTTCTTCACGTTTATTATTAAAGTGATGGAAACAAGACTTCATCTTTTCAATCTAATTTTTATGAGTAAAGTAGGTAATTACTTGATTTTTATGAACTTTCTTAATTACATTAAATTTCTAACAGGATATATATGCTATATTTGGATATATTCTTCTTTCCATCTGTAAACGAATCTTTCATCTACACTGATTCCGGTTTTAACTTTTTGACAGTGATGAAATCTTCTTGAATCACTTTACTGATGATTGTATGTTTAATTCGAAATCCAAAGCATGATATTAGCTGTATTATTTTTGAAGAAACTGAAAGATTTACAGTTTGTAGAAAACGCAGATTTGTGGAGCGCTATTATGATTTTCATTTCATTAGTGTGCTCATCAAATTAAACTTCTTTCCATCTGTAAACGAATCTTTCATTACTTGATTTTTTCTTTTCAATTCAATTTCTGTGTATGTGTATGTATACCTTCTGTTTTTTGTTCCTTTGTAGATGTCATTGTCACTTCCATTTCTCCATTTGAGATTAACTTATGAAAAAATAAAAGAATTGTTTATATCCCTCTTTTATGAAATGAATATATTTCTGTTACAGTAAGTTTTAAATGTATAAAAGAGGGGATGTAAAAATTTAAAATAGTGTTAAGGATATGAAAGTATGAAAATTTAAAAGAGGTTAAATAAAAAAAGAAACATAGACAAAAATTCACAGTAGGAAAACATTGAAATAATTGTAATGATCGAGAATACAATTGGATTTCCATTTAACCCTATGAACTATCATCCAATCTAAATAATATTTAAATAATTGATAATAGTTATAATCGACGATTAGCTCATATGAAAAATAATAGGAAAGAGGAATTTTTAACCGTACACATTAAACAGCTGCATTCAGTTTTAAATGATTCTCATTGCTGATTTCAGTTGAAAAAACGATTATAATGGCAAAATCAGTGATTCGTTTATTTTCAGTGTGATGTTTCAAACCGATTCACTAATTCGAAAATTTTATTAAGAAGTTGTAGATTATATTGGCGCATTTTAACAATGAGAAAATTCACTTTAAAGTTTTAAACAATTAGGAATAAGAAGGAGTATGGAGCAGCATTTATTGGGCTTCCAACTGAATACATTTAAAAATAAACAAATAAGGTCATACGTGACTTATACTCTTGTTAATGACTCTCTTGTTCCTGACGGGATGTACTGCATATTTGAAAATATTTCTTTTTACTTCGAAATGGAATTCAGCATTGATTTAATTTGAGAACCACAGGTTACAGGTATTCCTTTTAAAGCGCTTTTCTTAATAATAATTAGCAGGAGCGATGAAAGAAAATTATTTTATGCAATAGGAAAAGATCAAATATTCAACTCTGTTTAATCCTAATATCCGACTCGAGGTTAGGGCTATGCGCTATTTCTGAAACAAGTCAGGAATGGTAATGATGTTATCTAAAGCATGCTTCTGAAGTGACCTTCCGGCTTCCGGAAATGCATGGGGAATGTTATCAATATCAAAACTTCCTATATATTTCCGAAAGGTCTAGACAACAATCATATATCGTTTTATCTATTTCATGAGAAAAAAAATAGAGTAATTATTGAAATAGTTAACTACTTTCATAAGATTGAAATGAAGTACTTGTACTCGATACATAATATTATCCACACATTGCTGGTTTAATATGGACAGAAATCAAAATTGAGTAAGGACATATGCATACTCAATTTGGTCGGGACTATTGAATATTTTTGTTTCTGAAATTTGGATCAAATTTAAATCTCCCTTTCAAAATTCTTTTAATAAAAAACTTAAATTAATTTTAAATCCAAATATCAAAATATGTGCAACATATGAGCAGCAAAAGAACCTATTGATTCGAATGTAATGCTATCTTCTACAGATAGGTTGAACACGGCAATCGGCTGTGATGTGCATCATTGATTTTACAAAAATTTCCTGCAAGCATGAATAAATGCTCTCTTCTATGATAAAGATAGATAAATAAATTATGATTTCGTCAATAAGCTTGGATACATCGTGTAAATGTATTTGATATAACATAGTAGTTTCCAGTGAACTTTCAACCAAATTTGATGTATAACTTAAAACTATCCGATAAATTTAATGATGTAAGTTATTCTAGTCTTACTTGATTCTCTTTAGCACTTCAATTCCTTTTAAAATGTGATGATAATTAAAAGATACGACAGACTGAGCGCATCGGTCGCATGCTATGATAATTGACACTTTGGTTATTATAAGTATTCCAGAAACATGAAGTTGTGACGTTACTCGATAATATTATCCAATCAACGAGGAATTCTGTTTCTGTATGCAATAGCATCAAAGAATCTCTTTGAAATAATGCATGAAATCTAAGTTTAATGTTTTAGTTACAGCTACGAAGCGCGAAAAAATTTTGAAAATAATTCGGCATATAGATAGTTAATAACATTTCATTGATAGAAAATGCAATCATTACGAATCACACGGTACTCTTTGTCGGAACCTTTTTTGGTTATTACCATTTTTAGATATCCTTCATGCACCTCTCACATCATCCTTATCTCTATTCAACCTCGTTCCACCCACTCTACCTTCTCATAGCTCCCACACATATACAGCTTGAAAATTTGCAGTTGTTGCGGTGTTGCAGCGTTCTTCCGGCAGTTTGTGAATTGGCTGAAATTGTTGTGCGGGGACGGATTGGTAGTATTGTGAAGTTAACTGGTTGGTTGAACGATTGCTGGTTAACGGGTGGGAGATGACCAGCAGAGGGACATTTCGACTTCTTTTTGGACTCGCACTGTTAGCAAGTTGTGAGTTCTCATTTCATGTCATTCATTCTAGGATTATTCTGGTTTCGATTTCATTTCACTTGAGACCAGTACTTCCGTCAGCTACTGTTTCAAATAGATTTGTTGAAATACAGAGTAAGGATGAAATGTCCTGGTCTGAGTTGATGCCTCTGCACAGCACTAATCTTTCACGTGCTTCTTGTTTATTTGTTCATTTTTTAGATCAATTTAGTTCCCTTTTAAATCTATTTGAACATATTGTTATGTGAAGTGGAGATCCCTACAAATTAAGTCAGAATCATATTTTACGAATTCATATCCAATTCTTAGTTCTAGGGGATAGCAAAGTATTTTCGTTAATTGGCGCTGCTTTCAGGTTTTATTAAAATTAAAGGGGACGATGAAGTAGATGGTGAAGTTGAAGAGGAAGTCACTGCAAACGAGGAGGACGCCATAGCAGTTGCTGATGATAAAGTAATGCGACCAGTATTATTTGGAGATTTCTTTGTAAACCGTTTTATTGAGAAGAAGGGAAATGAATGAGTTTGTTTCAGATTGCTGGCAACTTAACAGCTTGTTCTGTGTCGTCTTTTCGAATCCCCATTTTTTTCTAAACTTAATCTATAAAACCTGGTAGAGTGATATACAACTTTCCAATTGAATAGATTGAATATGTACTCTAAATATAAAATATTCCAGATTTCCGATGCGGCGGAAGTTGACAACGTAATGAGACCCTCTCCTGACGTTCATGTGGCCTTTATTTTTACTCAGCCTGAAAATTCAGAAGGTGTTTTTCACCAAGACTTCATTTTTTATTTTTCTTGTTGTTAGTCGTCCTTATTAAGGCAAATATAATTTTCCAGTATTAGTTTTTTTTCAGATCTTCCTGGCGGGAAGCTTGTTCAGTTCCTAATGGGATTTCAAAATCGTGGCGAGAAAGATTTCACTGTAAACTTTTGCGAAACTTCTTTCCGGTATCCTCAGGATTTCAGCTATCACATACAGAATGTTAGTAATGTTGTGATCTATAAAGTTCTTGCATAGAGCTGTTTAGACTTCTTGATTTCTGTCAAATTTAATTTCTTTTCTTGCTGTGGTTCCATTTGATATATTTTTCCTTTCAGTTCTCGAGGGTGCAGTATAATCGTGTTGTAGCCGCTAAACAGGAAGCTAGCTTCAACTATGCCTTTTATCCGTCTGATCAATTCGCTGGTCGACCATTGGGGCTTGTCGTAGAATTACGATATGAGGATAGTGATGGGAAAGCATACAAAAGCACAGTTTTCAACGAGACTGTAACGATTGTTGAGGATGAATCAAATTTCAACACAGAAACTGGGTTCTTATACGTCATTTTTGCGGCTGTTGTTGTGTTAATATTATTGGCTGGACAGCATTTCCTTTCCAAGGTTATTACATATTGAGTTTTTGAATTATCGCCTTATAACATTTGCGGACGCAGTTAACGTAAATACTAACAGCTGTCAAAGAAGTGAGTAATGTAAAAAAGGAAAATTGTTAGGTAATAAAGAATTAAGTTTTTATCCATGGAACCTTATAAAGCAGATGAAACGCTTGAACCATTTAGAGATTTTTTAAGACACGTAGAGCGACGTTACGCTCATATGTATATCACGTGCTAAGAGGGGACAAAATAATAAGTATTCAAGTACAAATTAGTTTGAAAGTTTCGTGATTATGACTATTTATTTACTACAATTAAAGTATTTCAGTTGACAAGGAAACATGGAATGGCCAAAAGTCGACAAACACCACCGATTGAGATAGGCACTAGCAACAAGAACGAAGTCGATTTCGAATGGATCCCGCGTGAAGTGCTTAATCACAGTATGGATTTTGTTTTATTAAAAAATTGTTTACATACAAGAAACTAGAAAAAAGCTCTGTGAAGTTTCTGATCTATATAAAGCTCGTTACACATTTTATTTTTTATAGATCTTATGTTTTTTCAAGTTTCAGACAAGTCGCCGAAACCAGGATCTCCTAGACAGCGGAAACAAATACAGCGGTTAGAATAAAATAATGTTGTTACTTTTGTTTTTGTTCTTCTCGGAATTACAATTAATAACTTAGAACTTGCATTCGGTGAATATGTAGCAGGAATTCTTGTTCAAGAAATTCAAAAATGCACTATGTTATATTATAATTTAAGCCAGTCGTATTGTTACTGTTTCGTATGTTAAACTTTCACTTTAATGTTCTTATTTAAACTTGGAGCAATTTACATACAAAGAAGCTAGATTTGCTGACAATTTTTTATATAAAAATTCGTTTTAGGGTGTTGAGCAGCAGGATTATTTATGTAGTCATTTCTATGTTGTTACTATGTTTTCTGATTGTATCTGGTCATTTAATCCAAGCAGTTTACGCTTTCTGGTGCATTCAGATGCTTCACATATTATTTTATAAAAATGATGGGGATGTTTCTTTGTTTCTCGAATTATTTTATTTGAGAAAGTTATTTGAAGAATTGCTTGTCGAGAAAACTATTCTTTCCGATGCAGCATATCTGAAGTACCAGCATCTTTTCATTTTGTTTGTCATTGTTTTAGCTTATGATGTTGTCTGTTCACTTTATATACAAGGATGTTTCTAATAATAAAATGATTTTTCATGTCTACGTCGGCAGTTGTGCAGTGGTTTGTCCTAGCAGTACCGATAGCATCGGATTTGTAATTTAGAGAAAGTAAGACGAAGGTGGCTTACATATGAAAATTTTTGTCAACTAATGTTTCCAATAGTAACCGATCCTTTACGTATTCTTTACGTCCACTTGAATCTATGTTTGGATAGGTGACTTGATGTGCTGCTACATTATTGGGATGCGATCGTCTTGCTGATACTAAGTGTGACTTTCAGGATGTCGCCAACAGGGATGGATCCTTTTGGGTCCATGCATAATAAAACAGTTGAATTGTTGAGTGCTAAAGCCGCTGATTATGGATTGCCTTCATCTGCGAACAGTGGTAAAATTTGTGTAACTTTGTGTTTTTGTTTCTCTCCCGGAAGAATTCGTTCTATTCTTTTATTATCGATTTATACGGTCTAACTCTAGTAGCGAATGCTTGTAATAAACAGAGATTTCATTATTTAAAAAAGCGCAGTCGTCAGATTTAAAAATATGCTGCGTTTGTAGAATTGCTTTTGACTAAATAAAATTGTTAACTTATGCATGAAGATGAGACTTTTTCTTTGTTGGCAAAGATGATGATATTATTATTTAGCTGGTTTACAAAGTGATAAAGAATCGGAGGACTTTGAAGAGGTAGTAGATTCAGATCTGGATGCAAATTTGCTTTGCAGGTTTCTTTTATAATCCTCACATCAACGTTAACAGTCGAAGGGAAATTATATTCCTTATCTTTTTTTGCAAGAGCATAAAATTGGAATTGGAAAAATGGATTGAAAAAGATTATCTTTAAGTCCTTAGAAATTCTCTACAGTTATGAAACGCATATTTTCCAGAACGGAAAGAATTGTTTAACTGATGTTTAATTTTTATGAAGTAATGCAAAAAAATTGTTTTCCTTCAGTTACTTGTCAGATCTGTGCACCGCCGAAAAAGAAAACATTTCTAATGGTATTATTGAGGAAAATGCTGAAATTGGTTTGTTGCATATCTGTAAGAAAAGTATAGATCTGTTGAAAGAACATTACGATAAGTGCATTGAGGTTAGGTTTATGACTGATTCAAGTTCTACATCTTTGTTCCTCACTCCTTTATTTCTCCTATATCAAATTTTTTTTCTCTATTTTGGGGATCGATTTGTAGTAAAATTGTTTGATTCAATATTATTTCATGTAGTGGTGTTATAAATCTCGTAAGAAATATAATTTAATCAGTTAGTGAATGAATTGCGAAGTAATTATGAAGTGGTTACTGAACGAACTTCTTCACTGCACAATGCATGTGATCGAATGATGGCGCATCAGACACAGATTGCTGCTGGAGCTGAACAAATTCGTGCAAATCTTTACTATTACACCCAGTACGAATCCATCATTAAAGTGGGTTTGGTCACATATATTATTTAAATAAATACATATATTATTTTAAATAAATACTCAGGTATCTTAATTGACTTAAGCAAATAAGTGTTTTCGTGTTTTTTTCATGCTTCTGAGCATACATTTCAGAAACTAAACACTGGAAAATTTTCGATAACGGGACAGGTGTTTACACAGATTTTGTCGACAATCGATGAGTGTTTAAGATTTTTGAGCGACCATATTCATTACAAGGATTCCGAAACTTATATTACGAAATATCAGCAGTGTTTATCAAAGTACTATCTTCTTGTCTTACTGTAAACCTTATGTGTGAGAATGTTCTCTCTCTATCGTTTATTATTTTCTGTCAAATAGCGGCACGCTAAATGTTAATAATCAGTAAAGTATTGAAGAAATCATAAAGTTCAGAATAGTGATCCAAATAAGGACAAAATACTTTTTTATCAACTAAAGTAGATGAAAAGTTGAAATTTGTGTATTCTTCAAATAACACTTTTATCCGTTTAAATGCTTTCAATTGGTAAAATTTAGAGCAATGACAGTGATAAGAATGGGTGTTATGGCCGATTTGGAGGCAAGCCATAATGCCGTGAAAGATAGGAATATGAAGCTAGATATCGACAGTATGTTGTTAGTACTTTTTTAAACAAAAGAGAATAAGGGAAAGAATTTTAAAGATAATCGTATTCAAGAAGCGATTTAAAGGTTTTTTTCTACAGACCGTCAAAGTGGTTATAGCGATGACGATACTTTTGCATTACTTTATGGTGTTTTCGCTGCCCGATCCAGTTCTGTTCGATCAGCTCTTAATGTCGCTGAACAACATTTCCGAGACGTCGCAGAGTTTCAATTGATGGTAGCTGATTGCCAGCAAGCTTACTTTAAAATACGATATGAAATGCTTGAGCCTGTTATAAGAAGTACTATTGATGAACTGAGAAGGTTGTTTTCTTGTTTTCGAATATTCAAACAAAGCAAAGATGAATATCACCTCATTAAATATTTTGGCTTTTAATCACAATATTCAAGTATTTTCTACTTTATTTCAGAAAGTAAACGTTTTAAAGCATACTAATTTTTTATTTTTAATTTACACAGAACTCATGATAACAGCTCGTGTGCACTGACTCGAAACGGCTGTGCTTTTTTGCTTCGACTTTGCGATGATGAATTTCGATTGTACAAGCAGTTCTTTACAGTTGATGGTGAGTGAAATATGCTCTGAAAAATATCACTTCACTAATTTTAATAGTTATTTCCTGTATTCTGAAAAGCATTTTAAATTCACTGTACAAATGTTATAGGCGATGACGGCAGTGGTTCAAGATCTGTCACGATTTCAGCCCCGTCAAGTCCGCATGCATCAATTTTAACTTCATTCATCTCAGGGGCAACATTATTTGATGATTTTATTGAGTCACTGTGTCGCGTTTTCTACGACATTTTGCGCCCTATTATTATACACAATTCACATTTGGAAACTCTTACCGAGTTATGCACAATTTTGAAAGTAATTCCTGATTTTCTTTTTTAATTTATTTTGTTGTGCAAAGTTTGCGTTAATCCGGAAATTTAGAAAAACTAAGTCAATTATAAAATAATTGACTGCTTTAATAGTGATAATTGAAAAGAAAGAGAGAAGGCATGCTTTAACGGGAAGGCATCCACAAAGTAAGGTATTTTTTTAACACGTATCGATTTCATGAATGCCTAGAAATAAAACAATTTTGTTATATTCAAAGGGCTGCACTATGTATCGCAATATATTCATTCAGACGCTTTTGAAAGTTTAAGGTCGAAATGATTAAAGAACGTTGTGGACTTATGCAATCAGTGATGTCATTGAAACAATTAACAAGTAATACAAGTGCTGAGGCATCGTCACTGTCTTATGCTGAATATATGGTAAATCCACGTAACGGATTTGTACGAGTTATGACTGAATTAGTGGGTGATGTTGTGGAGCGAATTGTTTATAGGTAGGTTTTCCAGCATCGTATGTAATTAAGTGTAAGAGATGCTTTAAAATATCATGTGTGTTGTAATTTAGCCGCTAAACAATTGCAGAACTAGTTTGTACGCTCAGTCAGACATAGCCGAATTCACCCCATCGAGTGGAGATCTTGCCTATCCAGAAAAATTAGAGATGATGAAAGAAATTGAAAAGGAGCACATCTTAGACAAGGTTATCATTTTTTCTTTCTATATATTTCCCTATTAATATTATCCATATCTTCTTACTAACGCTGTTCTTACTCAACTGATGTTCAGGATAACATAAATGCAACCTCACCGACTTCTGCGATCAACCTTTACTGTTTATGGTATCCAACTGTCAGGCGTACCGTGCTTTCTCTTTCGAAACTATTTAAATGTTTGGAGGTAACTTGTTTATCAATTTCTTCAGTGCATGATCAGTACTTAGATGTGGTTTGTTTTCATAAACTTCAGTTTTTACCTGAATCTGTAAAACCGCTGATGTTTTAGCCTTTAGTGTTCCAAAGCATTGCTCGTGAACTGCTGACAGCCTGTTGCCAGTCATTGGAAGATGCAGGAGAACAAATTCGAAGTCGTGATACGGAAAAAATTTCACGCACTCGCCGATTTCTGGATGCTGAATTATTTATCGTGAAACACCTTTTAATATTGCGTGAGCAAACAAGTCCGTATAGGGTCATCGTACCATCTGGTAAGTTTGCAGCGGACTAGTCCGGTCACAAATTTTCATAAATTCATAAATATATACGAATGACCTAACATCAGATGTATATTACATCAAATTACCATCAGTTGTAATGCTATTAATGCTATTTATGCTACTCTATTGAGGAGAAAAATTGTATTTTAGGAAGCACGCCTTCTGATACCATTCCCCAGCGTGATTACGTCTTCGACTTTAGCAAATACAGAACTTCCGCTTCGCAGTTCTTTCATAATCGACATAGATGGTTTGAATTGACGTCAAATAATGCCTTTCTGGAATTTTTGTTGCAAGTATTATTTTTACATATACAAATTACTACATTATTGCAATCATCAACTTAGGGCTATTCTTTTTTTGGGATAGTGTTTATTTCGATCTTTTTCATATGCACAAAGCCTTTTGAAAGTTATGTAATATATTAATGGCAGCAATATTATTGATTTAACTGTTTTAAGGTGCCACTGGCAGTTACGGAAGCAGTTGGTGATAGCAGACGAATTATTGATATCCGGTTGAAAACTCACTGTCATAACCTGATAAATACAACTAGTGATATAATTATTTTTGAATTTGCTGATTATATTGCTAAAGCAGAAGAGATAGTAAGTCATTTCAAAAGGACGTAACTTGAAAGTTCCATTTTAACGCCGTCTAATTATACTAATTTGTCAAAGTGATTCCCTGCAGTAACTTTTTTTAAGGCAGCAGCGCCTGATTTTGATCTTACAAAGCATGATTCTCTGAATGCAAACAGTATGCAAAATTTTGCGGGTCAAGCATACAAAAAACTGACACATTTGTGGCCTGAGGTAAACTTTTTATTTAACAATTTGATTTGTTATTTCAGACATTACCACCTGAGTTTGGTGTTATTCTGCTTAATTAAATTTACTGCTAGCAATATTTACGATCACTGTCATATTTTCATTATAAATGATTGCATTTATTCCCATTCCAGATTAAGGGATGCTTCGATCTGTACATTGGTTTCAAAGAAACTGAAAATATCTTATTGCAGCCAGTAAAGAAGCGAATAATTGATGTAAGTTTCTGTCCATCGATTGCATCTGCTTTGAGACGTTGTTATGATAGAGTGAGAATGGGATTTCATATTGAATAACATTTGGCAGGTGATTCATTCTCATTCAGTTTGAAATCCATGTCTGTTCTCTTTCAGGTATTCACACGTGCTGGTCTTTTTGTTGATAAATTTTACGATGAAGAGCAGAAACAAATAGCTAGTCTTCCTACTCAGGAACACATATGGTTATTAATGAATGCTTAGTTTCCCGATTTAATATGATTTTAAATTCTAACTCATTTATTTTATCTATGGGGCAAAATAACGCTCAATACAATTTATCCGTATTTCATATAAGCTCTGGAAAATGGATATGCAACAAAGTTCATAAAGTTTTGACCAGGTATTGCTAGATCTACCGGAAATTTGCTATTGCAAAATTAGATTAATTTATGTTTTTTACTATTGTTTTTATTTTACGTGCTGTGATATGGGAAGCTAACATGTTTGGGATAATGAATTATGAGTATTTTCATAGAAATTATTGAATAATAAGCGTTGGGTTAGCCCGATTTTGCATCAATTTGTCAATGATATCTCGGTGGTAAATATTAGCATATTTTATATGTGATAATACTTGAGCATAATTGATTTGGAAATGATTGGCTCGGTCGAGGAAATGTTTGAATGAAAATCGTTCATCGTGAAATGGAATGATACACATCAATCACTTCCTTGTGCTTCATTCTTTATGTTCTTTGCGTCACCAACTTTTTTGTGCTCGCTGTGATTTTCTTTCTTTTCCAACTCACGATCCAGCTTCTCGTGTGTCTGGTTTTCAAAGTCAATCTGTATATGCAATAACTCATATTCAGATTTAGTCTGTATTAATGATTATTTTTTTTTTAAAAATAATTCAATCAAGTTCAATAACATGAGAAAAAAAGTATGATTTGATAAAACGATGTGCCTAGAAAAAAGAATTTCGTAGAAACTATTGAAGTAATTCTATCAAATAACTATAGATTACTTCATTCAAGCTAAGTAATGGAATATCGAGTGCTACAGCGTGACTATGAATTTCATAAAGTCAACTTGGGCGCCTTTTAAAAAAGTCAACCAAAAATTATACGAACTATGTCAAATATTAGTTAATCCATTCGTTACAAGTTTCAACAAATTTGCCAGTGCTTTATGGTCATGTCGTACATCATATTCTGAAATTTGATGTGCAGATGTTATCACTTTTAGTGTTGAAAATGGAATTGAAAGTTAGCGCAGTTAAAATGTCGAATTCTTTTACTTTATGTTCCAAAAAAAATAGTACTATATTATCATACTCAGTAATTCACTTTACTCTGCTCAAAAATATATCCTGCCATTTTTGTCATTTTTGTACATTTAGCCAATTGAACATTCAAAGATGCTAAATTGAGCTACTTATATAAATCTCTTTGAAATTTACTTCGTGTAAGCAAATCCGACCCCACGAATCGCCGATATTGCAGTTGTGCACGAAGCCAACAATTTGTAGTAAAGTAAAATACTTATCCTATCCTGGAAGAGATACATCGGCCATGCAATAATTGGTACGAAAAACAATATCTATTACAGACCGCCCTAAGAATCATATTGCGGCCCAAATTGTATTAAATATTAAAATTGTAAAAAGATTAAAGGATAACAAAAAAATTCTTTGGTGCTCCAAAGGAATTTGTTTTATTTCGGTTGTTTAACTTCTAGTTTGTTGTGTGGAGATCTGGAAATACTGGCCAGTGGTCACATATACCAAACGGTGATTTCACTAGTCTGATCCCGTATTGTTATAATGTCGTATTACATTAATGTCTATAGTGATTTTAAATATTAAATTAGCAATAAGTAACTTTAATCGAAAATTAAATGAGATTGATTAGGTTATTTTTACAAAAGATTAATAGAAATAATGTGCTGTAGATTAGTGATGCCTTAGTGTTCTTAATTGTATTTTGTTAGTCACCTCTTTCTAACTGAATTCTTTTTTGGAATAATTTTTCTCTATCATTGACTGAACTTCTAAGCAGGATTTAGTATTGCAAAATTACATTTAGGATAGGAAAAGCTTTACGGTGTTAAAATATTTCAAAGTAAAAATCCTAAAAAGATAATCTAGAAGAAGTATTGATGTAAAATAGGTGGAAAATCCGAGGTAACAGATATTCGGTTGTCTCGAAAATGCTATCATTACACTTTGCTTTGATGATAATGTTGCTAAAAGAGTGATAATACTAATATAGAAGACAGTTATTTAGAAAGGTTTTCACGATATCAACGATTATATTTTGGTCAAATTTTCAATTTAAATTACTTATGCTTAAAAACTTTTTTATCTCCTTGAACATTTTTTAATTTTTTGCTCCATATAATTTTATGATATTGAATAATATTAAGCATCTTAAGCAACTATTGTACTGTCTACACAAGCATTTTTACTGGAGTAAATGAGGATTAAAATTGTTGCCAATAAAGAACGATAGAAAAAAAGTTGGTGAAAAAGTGATGTGTACTAAGAATGGAGTCCGATAAAGTTGTTGATTATTCGAAATCATGATTCAGTCAATAATTATCAGTAATTGTCATTGAAGTCATCTATCATATTGTTATTATTATTTGGTTTAAATTGTCAAATAAGATGATAGGTTATTAATAATTGTTAGCATAAGATATTGATATGTTATCATTTATATTGTTCTCAGTGAATAAAGTATGTATATAAATAGAGTGTTAAAAAAAAAATTTATTTTTACGCAGCACATGCAAGTGATAGATTGCAAATTGAGTTCGAATTTAAAGTTAAGAAATTCTCTGTCCCATTTACAAAGCTAAGATATCAATACGGTCTATACGGTACTAATAAATCTATTTCATTTATTTTTGTTAGATCTCAAACCGCCACGCAAAATGAACTGTTTCAGTTCTATTCATTTCAATACAATCTGAATGATACAAAAGTCTTCCTAATAATAACAAATAGTCAAAAGTTTTCTATAAAATGCATAAAGACAAAATTTATAATTTATTATCTATCCATTATGCCATAGGTAAAAATGAAGGAGAGATAATGATCAAAGGCAGTTGTGTTGCGCTAATGTGGCGGTTTAATCACTGCAATTCTCCTAAAAATCGGGAAGCTTTTGACCATTTGTTATTATCTTCGTTAAGAAGTGAATCTGAACTCTTTGGATCGCCGTCTCATTGTCAAGTATTTCAAACAATTCATTAAGTAATCTTATTCATCCTTAAGCTTCTCATCCAATTACTCAATCAAATTAATTTTTTTGATTAATGTGAATCGATAAGTTAAAGAGTGAAAATGACACTATTGTTGAAATGAGTGTATTTTGCCAGATGAAATGCAGAGTTATTAATACGCTGCCCATATATTATTACTGTATTTTAGAATTGAATCATGGATCGCATAGAAAGAAAGAGAAGATCTTTCTTACCGAAAACAACGCAGGCTTCTGAGCCGCCCATTAAGTTCTGCCGCATTACGGAAGAAAGTACGTTTAAATTCATTCAATGTTTTACTCTTTTGCAGTCACCTTTTTTCCATCTCTACTTCAAATATTTAATTTTAGATTGCCGTAGTGCGAAAATAATTAAGAATGAATGCAGGTTAGTTTAGTTGTTATTATTTTAGTCCACCTGTATATGAAGACCTTCACTTAGAAGTGTTATGAAACAAATATGAGATAACAGTATTATTAGCAATCAAATATCAGTTTTTTCTTTTCGATAAAACTTTCGCATCATCGAGGAAGTTCAAATTATACTCAGAAGCATTGCATTTAGGTTAAGTGACAATGCAAAATCTTATCCCGAATCCTCTACTAGTACACTACCAAATGTTAATTTTTATAACGATCCATCAAATTTCCTCAGTTGCAGCTGTCTTGGCTCACCACAACAGGTTATTTCATTTCTGACTTATCAACCAATGTTTTTCAAAATTTTATCGATAAAAAAAGATAAAGAAACGATAGGTGGACTTGTAGAAATAAATAAGTTTCAGGTTTGGCATAGTCTTTGCGAATCACGGGAAAAAGATAATGAAAGAAAGTCGGAGAAATGGAAAAAATTGGAGGTGAAAGGCATTCGTTCCCGAATTACCACACTCCTAACAATGATCCAAGTAATAGCTTCTTACATAAGTCACATTTAGATAACTTATGATACAATTATTAAATGATACTAACATGCTTATATACAGGCTTGTAAGCACACAAAGTGCGATTTTTAGCTATGCGAATATATGAAATATCGTCGTGAAACATATCACCGTGCCATAGATATATTCGATCGTATAATGGCTGTGTTTGACTTTGAAGCAATGAATAAATCAGAAATAATTTTTACAGGGATTTTCGCCGTCTTCATCGCTTCTAAAGTAGAGGTAATTTTTTCTTCATATTAAATCTTTTTCGGATTTTTAATCGGAACAACGTTTTTATCAAACCTCAGTCTATTTGAACTTAGAAGAGTTGAATCCTTTACTTTAAAGGACAAAAGCATATCAAATTTCTGGGCTTAATGTACTGAGAAAATAACGCTTTTGACATATTAATTATTGTAATAATAATAATAATTAAAAATAATAATAATGATAATAATAATGACAATTAATAATAATTAATAATAGCAATCAATAATAGCGATTAATAGTAGTAATTAACAATAGTAATTAGTAATTAATAATAAATGATAATAATTAACTAATAATAGTAATAAATAATGATAATTAACTAATAACAAACAGTAATAATAATTATTATTAGTAATAATTATTATTAAGTATTAATCGATTAAGTATAAAATGTAATGAAAACATTTGTAGTAAATCAGTGATTCTCAATGTTAGGTAACTTAGGAACGGCAAAAAAACCACTGGAGAACTATAGCGGACTACATAAGTAAAGTTTCGCCATGCGATCGCATGAAAACAGAAAATATGTTCGATCTGGAAATGAGAATAATTACCGTATGAGAATTTTTTATATTCCACAATTTTATAGCACAGAACTAGCACATTTGTAGTGTGAAAATATTCCGGAATATGAATCTTTTCTTCTCTTTTCCTACAATAACACAAATAAGAAATCGCCCTATAGAAAAAGATTAAAAATGATCAAATCCGATATTTGAAAAAGAAAATTTCCGAGATTGTCCCAAATTTGACATAAAGCAATAGTTGATCTAACAGTGTCAATTGCAGAACGTCAATTGGTCATTCAGAACTATAACTGCCTTAGAATGGGCTAAAATATATGCACATATGACGCGAGTTTATACCACATACAAACGAATTCATAACTTGTCTTTGGCACATCAATCAACGCCAACTAAAAAAAGAACAAAAATAGCATACGGAGTATCCGATGATCAAGAAGTGGATTTTTTCACATGGGCACAACTGGATGATCTCGTCATAGGTGAACCATCATCTCCAGTAGATTTGTGCAATCGAATTGCCATCGCACAGGTATATTTTTGTATGCTTTAAATTATATAGAATTACCGGGCACTAAATTTTCAATTCGCCTCTGTTGTGGCTGTATTCTTTAAATTTGTTTGAACTGCAAAGAATTTCATCCGAAAAACGAAAATGATCATTCATTCATTACTGCTTAGTTCTTCACCGGAAACTCACTGTGATCAGAAAGAGACTTTTATAAATAGAATGAAATTAAATGTACATTTACTTTTAGGTCGTGGATCTTTGCATGATAGATCTTTACAATTTTAATTTCACATATCGCCAACTAGGAGCAGCAGCTTGTGTTTCGGTATTTGGTCTTGATTATGAAATAGCCTTAAGGATTACAGGTCCTTTTTGGATTCGCATTTTCGATTCGATTCGCATATTATAGGCTATATGTATAAAATTTCAGTAACACTAAGTTTCCATAAAACGTAAAATGTCGATCTCTTGCAGGAAAATACATGCTACTCCAAACTCTTTCCTTTGATGAAAATTATTTCAACAAATATTGCGGTAGTTTTTAAAAAACGAGCTTTTTTTAGAGTAAATAATTTCAGGCCTCAAAATGAAAGATCTACGTCCGGCACTAGACTTCGTGAATTCACATCGACGAATCTACATGAAGTACGTCCACAAGGAAGGTGCTAATATAGCCTTTACAAGAGGGAATGATCTACTGCATTTTTTCAGTGGATTAGATGAAGACGAGGAAATTGAGGTGATAGAAATCCAAGATGAAGCATCCAAAATTTCGGAATCTACACAAACATTGCTAAAATGGATGCCTGAAATAGAGGTCCTGGCTCCACAGTCATATCCAAAAAAGAAGACTAGTCATAAAAGTTCCAAAATATCCGGAATTACAGATAAAGTATCGGAGAGTACTAGAGAGATATCAGAGAAGCAAGGACCGTCAAATACGTTATCTAAATTTCGAAGAAAATCGAGCATATTCGTGTCCGACTTAGAAGTGTCATTGTTAGAGATAAATGTCAATTCTCCAAACTTTCGAGACATCTCCATGGAGGCCAACATACCAGAACAACAAAGACTAAGAATTTTGTCACCTGAAAGTGGAAATAAAGAACGGATTTGCAAACTCCCCCATATTATGCTTAAAAAGAAAGCACAACTTCCTGGCACATCAGCTGCAACAGTGAAGATATTCTCTCATCCTCCACCATTTCTGCAGGTATCTGTTTCCACAAATTACAAATAATGTATAATGAAGTATTTTGATCTCCGCTCGGATTCTCTTGCGATCGCTTGACTTGAAATTATGATTCAAAACCGTCTGACTTGAAATCATTATTCGAAATCGCACGGCATGTTACATATTCTCAATAATAATAATTTACATTAAATAATGATACCACTAACTAGCGCATCTTCTGACTGTCCTGGTTTACGTACACTTAGTTTCACCAGATTAAGTGGTTAGTCATAATTGATTTATGAGAGTTCATATATCAGGCAGTCCAATATTATGCTGATGAAGTCGGTTAAATTCTTAAGATAACATTTTCTTTTTTAGGTACCCGCTAATAAAAAATGTGGAAAAATAATCGAGATGGAGTGTGGATGTGGATGCGGACAACAAAGCATAATTGAAAACATGAATGAACTGGAGAAAATGATTAGTTCACTCACATATCACAAGGGAAAAGGGGAAGCTAAAGGAAAAATATTTGTAACCAAACGTAACCAACAGGGTGAAATAAAAATACGCCGTGAAATCCCTATCCCTCATCCAACTGAAGCTATGGAAAAGCAAATGGCGCAATACTACACGCAGTGTTTTCCCCTTGAAGCACATACAACGGTTAGATTCTTCCTTGAAACATTACACTCATGTCAGAGGTCAAATCACTATGATATTTTACATGTTTGCTTACACCGATTGAAGTATGCTAAACAATAAATTATTTTTCTTTCACACAACTTCTAGACAACATCAAGAAAGATAAGTACACTACTTTTTCGAGAGTTGTTTGGCTGCAGTGCAAGCATGCAAGTCATGCAGGAGATATTGAAAACAATTTATGCCTGATTTTTCTACCTTTGAGAAATTACTGAAATACCACAGTGAACAGCAGTCTCTTGCATTTCGCCCTACTAAAGTATAATTATTGCAATGTTCGCTTCTTCTTTTTGTTATTTTGTCATTTTAGATGCGTGTCATAAAGCGTTTACAACGATTTTGGATGGAATGTGGAAATCGTCAGCTATCCAGACGTCGACATTCCCATTCAGTACTTCGGCAATATAGATGTACAAATAGAAATCGACAAAGAAGGAAATCCAAATGATCTCTAGTACTTATTGTCTCAAAATTATCCTCTAATTATGAAAAGTACTGCTGATTCATAACATTTTGGCTAGGCATGGAGGTGTGGAGAGGAGGTGTCCTGCAGATTATAGGAAAACGAATTGAAGTCTATGTTGTTATCATGTTGTGTTATAGTCTTATTAATTACTGCATCAGTGACACTTTCCATTATTTCAGAGAATAGTCTCATATTACTTAGCTCCAGCGAGCTTTACTCATTATTTCAATGTATCATATCTAATAGAGATGCACTTGGACAATTTTGTACATTTTACTTATACTTCAACCAGATTATTCCAAATCTACATCATTCACTGCAATAAATGTTGCGATTCATAACAAAATGTAATCAGTGTCCAGAAACACACAATCACAGATAACAAAAAACCCGCGGTATATGCAGATTGACGTATAATAATGTGGAGCCATCCTAGGCTGTATCGGGCTGCAATAGACGGTTCTGTTAAATATATAACAGCATAACAGCGATGACGTGCTCACGGGACAACTGGACTCGTGTCGCACAATGGCTTAAACCATGCGGTTTCTCCTTCGACGTTCGTGGAATTCTTCCGCTATCTTACTATTTTTATGGTAAGAGTGCTATCATGCGGGACAAAAGATGACAAGGCGGACGCAATTTCATTGTAAAATATGAGAAATGATGATAATTCGGTGCATGCGGATAATTAGTGGAAGGAATTGCTAGCACCGGACAGATGCGCAAGTATCTCAAGACTCTGTGTAGTTCTTGTCGATATTTCAGTTAAAGTTGAACTTAATTGCTTATAATGTTAACTTAGTTCCTCTTTATTTGTTAATTAATTAATTGACATTGTGAGACTCTAATTACTGTTTGTTGGAATCAAACAAAGTTGGGATGGGCGCTAAAGTAGCGAAGAGCTGTAACAGACAGTTTTAATATCATCTGTTGCTCATGAATCCCATATTTATCAATCGCACATTTCAGAGTCTTTTTTAATGGTTGTGCTGTTAAAGGCAATGCCTTTAAGGTTGCGGTGAATCGTCTTTGCCCCCTTTCCCTCGAAGGAATCATCCAGTTGAATTGTAGATTTTCTTTTGATTCGGTCTTTTGTTGAAATCTAAAGAGTGTGTTTAGAATATAAAACTAGAGATTTTTTTTGATGTTTCTTACAGCTGCGGTACTTTTCCTTCCTCTGTATTTTCTTTTTATTTCTTTTTTGCATGTATAAAGAAAATTTGCAAGTAAGCGGTAAATAGACATTTCTGTCAATGATTTTAAAGATTGGAATTTACAAAATTATTTTTAATCCGGAATATTTGGGAATTAGCATTCTTTAAGTCAAGTTTCAGCCTCTCATCTTTATCACCTTCAAGAAAGTATGAAGGTAACAAGACAAAGAAAGTAATGAAAGTAAGATGATTTAGCCTTTAAATTCTGGAATATCTTTGTAAAATAAACGATGTCGGAATTACTAAGGTGTTTGTTTACCTATTTTCAGATAATTTTTTTCTTCAGATAGTTTTTGTTAGAACTGTAAGATTGTTAGAAATAAAACAGTGGGTTCTTGAGAATAATAAATGGTTGGGATGGAAGTAATAGAATTTTTATAGTATATATATATATTGTATATAAATTATGTATATAAATTGTCAAGGAAATTAAAATGCGGAATAATCAAGGCGATAAATTACACTAATAAATATCTGTCTATCTTAGACACAATTTTTGTATTTTTTTTCCTGCGTAAGAATCTACGCTTCGCATTTTAATAAATGAAAAAATTTCATATTTATAGAATGCAAGCTTGAAGTTTTCCACGTGGAAGTGATAGCAATGAGTGTTTCAAATCCCATAATCTGCATGAATTGTACTATCTTTTGTTGTGCAAAGTTTATCGTGACGTTATTTAAATTTTCAGGTTCATTTTTTATCATCTGTTATGTGTGTATATATTTTGGCAGATGTATCCATTTTTGTATTTTTGCAGATTGTATGAAGTTTTACCTTGGTAATACATGTTTGATGTGTTTGATTGTTTGACTCATCTTCTCGCAGTTTTTGATATCGTCGCTTTTTTTAATTTTAGTGATCCATATATTAGAGACGTACGATAAACCGTATTGGAAATGGGTTTAATTATCAATGAATGAAAAGAAGATGGGTGATTCGTATGACGAAGATGAGGGTCGTTTGATGATAGATGATGCTATTCTGGACAGTACTCATTCATCCCAAGCAGGTTGCGCAGAAACATCCTTCAAAACGACCATTTACGAAAAAACGGTTGAATTAACACCGAGTTCCGAAGATGGTAAATTCTTATTAAAGCCGAAGCTTGTATTGCAATAAAAACTATCAGGAATAGGGAACTCCTGTAATATTTGCTCTTTTCATTTCTAGCAGTTGAATCAACCGTTATAGGCGTGGAAAGTCATCCGGTTGATCCTGAACCGAAGCCGAATTTTTATTGTGAAAGTGGAGTCCCAAAAGTAGTTCAGGGTATTCATCGAGATGATCGATTGAAAATGACAATCAAGCGGACACAGAGCCCAGTCAACAGTGGTGGACAGTTTTCATATCTTGGAGAAAAACGTGTTGATGGTAGGTTTTGAAAAAATTCATTATATTTTCGTGGCATTTGCGCTTGTTTAAGGTATTAGCTTTGTCCCTCGAACCGTCTCTATTGTATTTTATGTTTTGCCGAACTAGAGGCAAGAACCGTCTATAGATTTTAAAGAAAACACAGTAAACAGTACATAGGATTCATGTGAATATTTTGCAAGTTTTTAGATACCTTTAAATTGCTAAAACTCTCTAGGTTCAACACGAAGTGAGGATATATCTAAAGAGGAGGGAGAAATCGATGATGAAGAAGAAGCGGGTAATAGTTTACATGCGCAATCAACCGCTGTAAACATTCAAAAGCCAGCTAATTGGTGTGTTCTTTTTTTGCAGACTTATGAACCTCCTCATTTAATCTACTGAGCTTTGTTATAGACTTACAATCCTCTTACATCTACCTGAAATTGCTGTGAGAAGATTCAAAGAGGATTTTTTGTAGTATTGGCCCATTTGATTCCTAAATCTATTTTTTAATGAGGAAAGAGTAACCGTTTATTGTGCACTCATACATGCAGTGTATTTTAGGCCTGGACATCAGAATACTGGTTTTGAAGCAGGATCTGCTGGCACGGGCAAATTTCGTCACGGACAACAACAGTTTGAGCATCATGGTCTGTACAGCACATCGCATTCTGGCACTCGTCAGCTAGCAGTTAATATTTCTCTATCTTCGAACGTAACTTCTCCAGGTAATTAATTTACTGGTATTGTTTGATTTGTTAATTCATTTATTTTTTTCTCTATTTGGTACTATATTCATGTGATCAAATAATTATAAATATATTAGAAAGATTATTAAAAATTAAGATAATTAACATAATTTTCATATAAAACAATGTGATACGCTATGACATCTTGCCAGATACAACTTCAAGATACTGAAACAAAGTCTGATTCAGAGTTTCAAAAATTTAAAAAATCTTTGAAATCATCTTTTTAGGACCAGCAAGTGTGACAGGTTCAGTAACGCTTGAAGGACACAACTCTCATGTTCTCTCTGCATCATATACACCACAAATCCAAACTTCTACCAATGTACGTCTTGGATGTTTGCTGGAAATCAAGTTTAAGGAGTACTTATCATATGTATTAGGGACAGAAGTTCTAGTTTTATGTGCCAGGATTTTCAAACGTTTAAAAAATCAAGCATATCATTCTTATGAAACAAAGAAAAATTGCGGTGCAGTTTGAATCAGGTTTATTCTCACCTCGCGTCAAAGATTATAAGACTTGAGGAATTGCAAAACATAGTAGCTTCATGTGGTGCATTATGTTAGTAATCATTTAATAAGAACTATCAGTATTTTGAAGTACTGGTATTTTTTTGTTCTCTTGTTATGATAAAGTGTTTCAAAATGTCGTATGAATGGAACCTATTTCAAATTGCATTTCATTTTTCTCTTGATTTTGTTTTTACACTTGTATTGTGCATGCTAAGTTATTGCTGCGCTGTTATTGTGTATCTTTGATTACTTGGTAACAGGGCATTCAAAAATCTAATTAAAGGAGGCACAATTTGGTGAAGGCTCTGCAGATTTGGATCGGCAGAACATTACTGGTGTTGGCTTGAAAAATACAGGGTCAGTGTTTTATATTCTTTGTACTTTTACAAATTTTAACAGAAGTTCATGATTTTTCTCATTTTACGGTCCGTTTGTCAGTGGTGTCAGATATCTAATTAAAAATGATGTAGTAAATCTTGAGTCTAGTCTTGATTCTGATGAAAGATGATGTGGTTTCAAATCTCTAGCTTATTTCACATTTTAATATGGAATTGTATATTTGGGTGTGCAGTGGGTAAGTTACTTCTTCTGTGCTCAAAGCATCTCATCGGAGAACTCTATTGTAAAATATAGGAAGTGGAATAAGTCATTTCTCTTATAAGCTTGCATATGCCTGCAGCTTGTAATAGTACGATGGATTTTATGCAAGTATTAAGCGTAATAAAAAAGCGGATGAGAAGCAATTTTCCACTGTCTCTTGTATTATTTTTAGGTCCTGTAGATTCAAAATCTAAAACCCTTATCAGTGGGATGATTTGTTTATTTTTTGTCTCCGGGCATTTGCTTTTTATTCATATTTGTTTTATCTGAAAGATATCCGCAAACTTTTAAATCATAGGTTAGGCCGAAGTAATGGTTTGAGATTTCCATCTAAAACATTTGCGCACTTTTATCCTGTTGATCAAACATAAGTCCCGATTGATTATTAGGCTAAATAATCAAAGCTGATAACTTGTAGAATGCACGCTTCACCAAGCAGCAAAGTACGAAAAAAGAAACGTCGTATGAGCGAGCGAGATGAGCATGAAACCTGCCAAGCTTCTTCCAGCAACACAACACCCTCCTTTAATATGGCAGCTTCACAATTAGGCATAATTTCTGCAGGTGCTAGTTCATCGAAAAAGAAGAAACAGGTGAATTTTGAAAAAATATAAAACACTGCCCATGTTTTTGAGCTTAGTAGTGGTCAAGGTGTTTCAGATATTATATTGCAGAAATTTATAGCATTAACATAGAGATATAAATTCTTCATAAGATATACTTATTTCTGGATTTGAAATCAATGTATTTTAATAAGATCTGCTTCTAATTTCGCAAATCACTATTTAATTTGGTATAAGAGCAATGTAATTTGTTTTACTAAGCCTCATGTGTTGTGATGTTATTTTTAAGACACTAAAGAGTTTTTTATTCAATTACCGAATAAGTGTTTGACAAATCCTCTGCAGAGTTTCATCCAGAAAAGCAATTTCCTTAGAAATTGGGAATAAGTCAGTCATACTTATGTATCAGTCGTTCAAAAAGTTCTGTTAATTTAATCAACTGATTTCAGTTACAGAATATACGGGATCGCTCAACATGTGTTAGTGTGAAATCCGTGCAAACTAATGATGGAGATATAGACTTAAAAGTTGGCTCAACTCACTGTCTCAATATTTCCGTACTTGCAAAAGCTTCAAGCAAGTTTACAATAGTTGTTTTATTAACTTGTTTCTTTGTCGTGATTTTTGATACCATGTATTTGAATTATCTTTCGTGATAATATCAGCAGCTTTATTAACTCTCAGTCGATGGATACGTTGCGCAGAAATAGAAAATGGAAGTCAAGCTTTGGAATAGAAAATGCGGTGCAGGTTGAAAGAATGTTAGCATGCTAAAATGTTGTGTAGTACTATGCCATTTGACCAATGTTTTAGTTTTGTTGATTGTTTAGTTCCTCATGCTTAATTCAAACGAATTTTGCTGAGAAATTAAATTTTGCAGATTATTTGTATTATGTTACAAATTGGAATGGGCATGATTTGTATGGTGTTTTGGGTGATGGTTCGCCTCCTTTACAACATACTTATATGAGTAAAAAGTAAGTACATTTTCTATCCTTTATTTATAATTGTAGTCAAATGATGCACTATTTTCACCTTCATTTAATGAGTTATGTGATGCAAGAATGATTTTAGGTGTAGTGGCACGTCTGCATCAAACAGTTCATCCGGGTTTGACTTATTCAGTTCGCATGATAAAACAAATGGTGGCAGTCCATTAAAACAACGACTTAATACCAAAAGGTTTGTTTAATACTGCTTGTATCCGATGTAAATGTAGTTATTTATGAACATAGTTTTTTTGGTTAGTTTAATTTCCCTTTATGTTCTCCAATTCTGTTGTATATACAAATATTTTGATCTGTTTTTAACTTGTTTTCTATTCATTATGAATCAGTCTTATTTTGGATTCTGTAAATATAAGGAAATTAATCATTTTATTTCACGGTTTTACTAGTTTGCAAATTTGGACATTGTATAAAATTGAAAAACGATTCTGAAGGTCGAATAGAAGCTCCTCAGTCTGTCCACCAAATGGATTTTCTGAAATCAAGTCAGCTGGAAGAAAAGGTTTGATCGGAAGTGTTGGTCGACCATCAAGCGCTTCAACCAGCGATGTACAGTGTAAGTTAAAAATCACTAGTGTATGAGCGTACGTTGTGTGATCATTGCAGTTATTGTAACGAACTCTTATTTTTTTGGGAATTGATACTACAAAAATGCAAAGTATATCAATTCTTATTCATATCGGATTGACATATGGAATGTTCCATAAAATTTTCAGATTCGAAGAACGAAAAGGGCTGTCTTTCGACAGTTCTGTTAGATATAATTGGATGTTAAAAGATTTATGCCTTTTTGATGTGCAAGTTATGGAAAGTTAGCTGAACATGAGTTCCCAGCCCTATTGTTTGCTCTCTTAGTAATCAGTGCCACGCATCAAGTGTATGCGTTAAATTTTTTACTTTTTTGTTTTATTAGAGTATTAAATTTCAATAAACAGAAATATTGCAGCTGTAGGGGGGGATCTGCAAGATGAAGAAAGGTCTCAGTCGCCGGTCTCATGGTTCACTTCGGGAAGTAATGATCCAATATCCGCACTCGGTTCATTTGGGACCGTTGCAGATAATGGTTCATCTCAGTTACGCGAATGCGTTTTATCTACAATGTATTCCTGTCCGGTAGCAGGTTGTGAACATCGCTATGACACGCAGTCACAGTTGGCGGTCCATTACCATACGCATTTTGTAAAAGAAGATGGAGGAAGAGCGGTAAATAATAGCTGTGATATAAATTTACTCATATTTTAAAAGTAAATTAGCATCTAAACTTCTGAAAGCTTTCAAAGCACTAGATTTTTACAGATCTACGTTGAAACTATGGGTACTCAGACAAATTTAGTCGTCACGAAAGATGTTGCTGTTGATACAGACAGAGAACTAACTCAGATTCGTACAATTTCCTCAGAAGAAATTGTTCCGGAAGTAAGGAAACCCAAAGGCGATGAAAATAGCGTCAATTTAGTTTCACCGAAGCCGAAATTATCGAAAACGCTCACGAATCATGAAGAACAGAGTATTAGTGAGCTCTTCAAGGTGTGAATAATTCGAGCTATTCTTACTTAAGGTCGAAAATTTTATACGTTAAGTCATATATAATAGTTTAAAGTGGATTTATCACGATGATTTTTGTAGGTTGTCACACAGAAGACAGAAACAGGCGGTGCAGCTGCAAAAAATGAAGGAAAGAAAGCGTTTACTGATAGAAGTCCAAAAAATACTAGCACAAGCAAAGGTAGGAAGTGATGTTACCACTGAAATTTGTTGAATTGCCTTATACTTATTGGTAACGACATTTACTGACTTAGATATGATGCATTGTTTTTTGTCATCATCCTTCACTTTATACCACATTCTTTACCTGTAGTAAATATATTGACAGTAGTATGTTCTTTAGTGTATGGTGCCTTACTTAGTAGTAATGCAACGAATCAGAATGAAATGGCTACTGCATTGGATGCGATTCGTAAAATGGTGACAAATAGTAGTGGTGAGACTCATTCACGTGAGCAGCAATCGATGACTGTTATTTCCAGCTCCGGAATACTGCCATCAACTAGGTATAAATATTTTCTTTTGCATAGTTTTACTTTCCTTTTTAAAATGTTAAATTTTCAAAATTCTCTCGTTTTCAAAATCAAAAAAATGATTTGAAGAATTTTTTAGCATTTCTTCTACGACACCTCATGGTGGGACTGCTTCACCTGCATTTTCAGACATTTCGGATGATGCACCCACTTTAGAGAAAGAGGTACTTTTTTGAAATATTCAGCTAGCTGAAAGGAAATATGTAGTTATTATTCATTTGCTTTGTGTTTAATCCATTCACGAAATAGAATTTCCTTATTTGTAGGTGGCTGATAAATCAGAAGAGCGATCTTTGGATCGAATCAAGGAATTAGTAAATAGCACCGAAAAAGCCCCACTAGAACAGTTAAGGTTGGTTATAATTTTAGAAATACAAGAATATTTTTTTATGTTTGCGTTTACAGACTTCACTCTTTGGTTATCTTAGAGTAACTTCGGTTTCTTAGTCCCTTTGAATGAAAAGACCAAATTGATTATGGGCGAACTCACTGTTTTTTCTCGAATGATTATTAGTAATTAAAGTTTGTCGATCGAGGATGAGAAAATGATCACAGTATCGAAAAGCGGAGTTGGTTCATCCACTTTGCTTTGTCCTGTAAGCTCATCAACGACCACTATCGCTACTACTGTTCCTCGAGTATCAACAGAAACGAATCAGGGCTTCGCTTCTGATGGTTTATTTTTATGTGTTTTGGTGGTTTATTCTTTGAGAAAGGTGTGCTTTGCAATGTCCGATTTCAAAGCTTTGGAATCTTGAATTTTTTATTGAACTCGATCTGGTCTGAGTTTTTCAGGTTCAAAAAAGAACGAAACGAAAACACAATCACAAACAAATACTATCGGTTCTTTTGCGTCATCTTTCATGGACCCATCAGGTTTGTTTTTCCAACAATTGTTTTATTGATGCAGTCTTTTAATGATATTTTTTAACTAATATCACTTGCTAAAGACGTTGTTGTTAATAATGCCACAATGCGACATAGTTCAATTAAATTACTAAAATATTGAAATTTTAGCTATCATTGTCATTATGCATTTGTTAAGTAATATGATTAAAAGATAATTATTTTGCATTTTGTAGGATTGCGTCATACGTCCATTATCCCAATTTCTATACCGAACTTGTCAAACGCCCCTTCTGCTTCAGTTTTTGCGCAGCCATATTTCATACCATTCATCAGTCCATCAGTAAGTAGTACCACAACTCCAGGAATGTCACAGCCTCATACTTCAAAGCATAAAATTCATGATTTGAAGGCCAATCCGCCAAGTTTGATTCCTTTTCAATCTAAAGAAAGGTCAGTGATTATGTGGTATAATTTATATTCAGAAATAAGGATTGCATGCTTTCTCATATTCTCACGAAATATTTTAACATTTATTATTTTAAAACTATTTCTGGAGAATTTGTTATTTCAGCATTGGTCAGTCATCTTCAGTTGTTGCCTCCTCTAATTCCCAACCTCTATCACAAGGAGGAACAGGTCTGTTTCTTAAGTTAATCTACATTTTTCTATTGCAAGCTAATTGAACTTGCGTGGACAGTTTTCCTCAAGACATCAATGCAAAATAACATTCTGCATCCTCAAAAGTAACAACCATTCACCTTCTAGCTGCATTTTTATTTACCAGTGATATTTTAACTACTGAGAAATTTTTAGCGTTTTGAAATATAGATTTTCGTTAAAGGTAATATATCAGCAGCGAAACAAACCGTGCACCAGCAACTAGGAGGTCAGAATGCTACTTCAGGAAATTCTTTCGCTAGCATTCAACCTCATGTCTCGACCAATAGCGACCGTAGCGCAAGTGTCCAGAATGCACAATCTTCCGCATTGAACTTTATGCAGCATCAACAACA